TCCTGACGCTAGAAGGCCACGATCTACAGGCAGGCTGGCACGCTTATTTATGGGGCCCAAAGAATAAAAAGAACTCATATTTCCATAGACACAAATTAAGGGAGACCCTGATTCAAACATGGGAAGAAATTAGACAAAGATTTTATACGAAAGTACCAATTTGGCTCTCAATTATGGAGGCGTTGATTACCACTAATAAAAGGGATATCTTGAAATTTGGCACGTACAAAGATATATTAGATGAAAATGGTATTCTTAGATCACGAGAAACACTAAGTAATCAAGGTTTTAATTTAGACTGGTGGAGCTACCTGCAGATAAGCTCTAGATATCAAAAAGATAGGGATCAATTTGGTATAGAGACTAAGTACAACAATTTAGATAAAATTATGCTGGGGATTGAAAAGAAAATGCTAGCGAGATTTTACAACCTCTTATTAGGCGAGGACAGAGCAGAAGGAATAGCCAGGAATCAACTAAGCATTTGGGAAAAAAATATTGGCTACAGACTAAATTTCAATGACTGGGAGGAGGCTTGGAATAGAAATTATAATCTTACTAAATCAGCAATTTACAGGGAGAACCACTATAAAATATTTCACAGATGGTACCTAGCCCCAGCTAGACTAGCAAAAATATTTCCCAGTGCCTCAGCAATTTGTTGGAAGTGTGGAAAGGAGGTTGGCACCTTCTTTCATATGTGGTGGTCCTGCCCGGAGACAAAAAAGTTTTGGACAAAAATACGAATTTGGCTACGAGAAATAGTGGAAGAAGATATAAAACTATCCCCCGAAATCTTTTTATTAGGAATGATGGGAGATGGACTCTCTAAGGACAAGATACAATTAATTATACATGTTATAACAGCGGCCAGATTAACCTTTGCAAAATACTGGAAGGATAAACAAACCCCTCCAGAGATGACAATAATAAATAAAATTCTAGAATGCGCAGAAATGGCAAAATTAACTAGTGTTCTTAAAGACGATGAGAATTCAAAATTTAAGGCAGTATGGGAAAGGTGGTACAAATGGTGGAATAATAGAACAAGACTATAAGGATATGTCTATTTCTAATAATGATAGATTTGAAGATACTTGATGTGTATATAATGTAAATATGTAATCGCATGACACCTCAGATGTTAACTGAGATTTGATGTTTTCTTTTTAAAAAACTTTTTAAAAAAATCAATAAAGTATTATAAAAAAAAAAGTTACAATCCATCTGGAGGTGTCATTTTGGAAAAGGTAAGATTAAAGATCTCTCTATATATATATGGATCTTTAGTTTGCTTCTTAGCCTGTTTCCGCCAGGTAGGACATTCTGGGTTCCCTGTTTTGTTTGAGGTATTTTCTCTTGTACTTCAAACCTTGTTAGCACACACCAAACACAATAGAACTCAGCTGTGAGTTTTGGAAGGGTGTAGTATGTATTGTGTAACTGAGTGGGAAAATATCTTATACAAGGAATAATTTCATGGTGCAATGTAGAGTCATAGTCTTTGAACTACATGATTTTCATCTCTGTAGATACTGATAACAGTTTGGATATCACCAAGTTCTCTAATTGTTTTCTGCAGGTAAGGTCAAATTATCTACATTCAGTTAATTGTCAAGCTTTAAGAATGTTGTAAATCCTAATTTTATGCAAACTTACTCAATTGCTCACTTATTCAAAAAGATGCTGGGAAGAGACTAGATGAAATACAATCCTACTGCACAGACACACACTTCTTGAGAAAGATACTTGAAAAGATTGCAATAGATCAGCTTCATGGATCTCCTCAAGATCAAGGAATTATAGATTTACTCACAGATCTAGGAACTGAGTAGATCTTGGGTTCTGATATAAGTGCCTTCCCCCCCCCCATGATATAGAGTCATCTCTAGGTGGCTCAGTGGCTGTGTTTATTGTTGCTGATTTTTTGGGGGGCTGCTATATAATGATCATTATGTAGAGCTGAGGTGGCGCAGTGGATAGAGTGCAGTACTGCAGCTACTTCAGCTGACTGCTAGTTCAGCGGATCAGCGGATCAAATCTCACCGCTCAAGGTTGACTCAGCCTTCCATCCTTCCGAGGTGGGTAAAATGAGAACCCAGATTGTTGGGGGCAATATGCTATTTAGTATACTGTCTTTGGTGTCAGCCGCCCAGAGTCCTCGGAGAGTGGGCGGCATAGAAATGTGAATAATAATAATAATAATAATTATTATTATTATTATTATTATTATTATTATTATTATTATTATTATTATTATTATTATTTTCCAGGGCAATTCCCTTTCACCCCTACTTTTTATTCTCTCAGTGCTACCACTGACAATCATTTTGAAGAAGATGAACTATGGATACGAACTTGGAAGAAAGGACTGAAAATCTCACACTTGATGTACATGGATGATTTGAAGCTGTTTGGTAAAACAAAAGCTGAACTGAATTTATTAATTGAAAACACAAAAGAATTCAGCCAAGACATCGGTATGCAGTTTGGAACTGACAAATGTGCAACAATAGCAACCAAATCAGGCAAGATCATAGAAGAGGATGGAATAGAACTAGAGAATGAAGAAATGATAAAGGCAATAAAATCAGAAGAAGGCTACAAGTACTTGGGGATTTTAGAAACCTCTGACTTAATGCATAATAAAGTCAAGGAATTAACTTCAGCCAAGTACATTCGGCGAATTTGTAAGATATTAATGTCCAAATTGAGTGGAGGAAACATCATAAAAGCCATAAATACCTGGGCTATACCTGTGATTAGATACTCTGCAAGAATAATTGACTGGACCCATATGGAGTTAGACAATTTGGACAGAAAAACAAGGAAGCTTATGACAATGAATCATGCCTTGCACCCTAAAAGTGATGTTGACCTATTATATTTACCAAGAGCAGAGGGTGGTCGAGGACTCCTACAAGTAAAGCAGACTGTGGAAGAAGAAAAACGCAGCTTGAATGATTACATCCAGAAAAGTGAAGAACCAATGATTAAGGAAGTAAATAAAGGAGGCTTATAAAGACAACTAAAACAAAAGCAGAATATAAGAAAGAAGTAATTGAGCAGTGAGCTGAAAATTGGAAAAGCAAAGCTCTGCATGGCCAATACTTGAAAAGTATTGAAGGCAAAGCTGACCGGAAACTAACTTGGAACTGGCTAAGATCAGGAGTACTGAAAAAAGAAACAGAAAGCTTTATTTTGGCAGCTCAAGAACAAGCCCTAGCCACAAACTGCATGAAGGCAAAAATTCAACATGTTACCACCAACAGCAAATGCCGCCTCTGCAATGAGAAAGATGAGACAGTTGACCACCTGATCAGTGGATGCAGCAAAATTTCAAACTGACTACCTACAACGCCATGACCGTGTTGCTAAGATCATTCACTGGAAATTGTGCCAGAAGTTTGGATTTGAGTACAGCAAAAACCACTGGGAACATCAGGTTGAGAAAGTTTTAGAGAATGAGAAACTCAAGATCTTGTGGGACTTTAGGATTCAGACTGACAGGCACTTGGTCCACAACACACCTGACATAACAATAGTTGAAAAGAAAAAAGTATGGTTCATTGACATTGCAATACCTGGTGATGCATGGATTGAAGATAAGCAGCAAGAAAAAATCACAAAGTACCGGGACTTGCAAACTGAAGTTGAGCGACTGTGGAAAAAGAAATCATGTGTTGTCCCGATTGTAATTGGAGCCCTTGGAGCAATACCCAAAGGGCTACCCCACTATTTAGAAATTCTAAATTTGCCAGACTTGAACATTTTGACTCTACAAAAAACCACCTTACTTGGAACAGCTTACATCCTCCGACGATACCTTAACAGTTCCTAGGTCCTTGGTTAGGACTCGAGCTGCTGAGGTATTAACCAGCCTCAAAGGCTGTGAATCTCACTAAAGATTAAATAATAATAATTAAAAAAAAATTGTTATACTCTTTTAAACTTATTATTAAGTATTGCTAGCTGGCCAGAGACATATGTTTGAGATGGGTGGCCATACAAAACAAATAGTAAGTAAAAAAACAGCCCTTTCTCCTTGCTCTGTAAAACCAATGATAATCCCATTTGAGAAATTTTATACATACACACTCCTGCTCATACTAACCCACAGATCAGTATAAGAAAGTTGTAAAAGTATTGCACAAATGGCCGATAATAAGAGTGTACACAGGTAGTCCTCAATATACAACCACAACTGAGATGGGAATTATGGTTAAGTCATTGTGGCTAAAAATTGAGTCACCACCTGATTTCACTCGACTACATTTGCCTTTCTCAGGGGTTATTAAATAATAATCATTAAATAAACATGAGGCTGATTACGTGGAGCACAAACTGCCCGCAGGAAGCTCTGAGAGCTGGAGGCCTATCACCCAGCTGGGTCCCAACAGGACAAGCAGCAACAAGCTTTGCTTAATGCACCGTAAGCCACCCTGAGTCTCCGGAGAAGGGCAGCATATAAATCAAATTTTAAAAAAAAAAAAAAAACTGGCCCAACAGGAGGGAAGTGCTTAGCTGGATTAGAGCCTAAGCATCCCCTTTTGATTCTGAAGAGGCTCCCAAACAAACCTACATAGTTGGCCGTGAGAAGCCCTGATGTTTTGAACCCTTGCTTGTGGGCTAGCTGGCAGTAAAGAGACTGCAGGCCTCCCCTACCTCTTCCTATGCTTTGGGAAACAGAATTCCCTGCATGCAAAGATGGCAGCTGCCAGACAAGCTTTCCAAAACTTTCCCCTTGTTTTAACCTCACCCTCCTCCTGCACAAACCCACTTTTTTTCCGGTGAAGAAAGCGATATAAAAATGCTGGAAGGGACAAACTTGTTGATCTTTCTCTTCCCCTTCCAGTGCTTCCACCCACCGGTGCTTTGGTGGAATGAAGCTCAATTCTCCGCCTCTGCCCTCCAATCTCCGTCTCCTTGAACAAACTCAATTTGCTAAATTTACCGCGTGCACCTAGAAAGAGGGTGACAAAATCTGTTAAGTGACTTACCTTGATGAGCGACTGGCAGGCTGAAGAGGAGAAGAAAAGAATCTTCCAGGGATTTAGCTTAAACGGAAGGGGAGGGGGGGAGCTGAACAACAACAACAACAAAACTTTAGAAAGTTTTTTCCTTCTATGATCCAGTTTGCTACATGTGTTCTGGCAGTTTCTCCGTTCAGCTCTCCAAATAAACAACCCACAGAAGATTTTTCTTTGCTTTCTTCATTCTCTCTCCTCTCCCCCCTCCCCACTTCTTTATAAAATTTTACTCCGCCCCTTCCAAGGACAAGCAGGAACTGCTAATGTTCGGACAAGCACGGTTAGGCTTATGGATACATGCAAAGCTATGGTTCATGTTTGTGCCAGGCATGCCCAGAGCAGATCCAGACATATCAGAATTCATAGCCGGGTCTTTTTAAAATGATTCTGCACACATGCTGAGTCCTAGGCTTGTCATTTACAGGCAGCTGTGAAATCCAGCAGGTCAAACGTCTGTGTGCAGTTGAAAATAATACAGCAGCCTCCGATTCCAAAGTGTTTACTAATGATTCTGCAAATTACATTGTTACATTGTTAGATACCACCAATGTATGGGGCAACTCAAGGCCTCTGCTAACCGAACACAACAAAGCCTGTTGGAGTTTTGATAAAATTATTTCTTCAGACTGATTTTGGATGTTATAATCCAGCGGCCGCCAACCTTTGGACACCAGGGATCTGTTCCATGGAGAGAGGTTTTTCTTGTGCTGCCTGCATCCTGCGGATGGGGCTTCATTAGTTTTTTGCGGCTCAGTTGCTGGCATGCCGCAACCCAGTGCCGGTCCACGGACCAGAGGTTGGAGACCCCTGTTATAAACCATGTTGTAATTTTAGTGATGAAGAATCACAAATTAGCTGAGCTCTACAGTGTCCTCCTCGAAGGACTACATCCTGCATATACTAATATTGTGCAACGGGATCTTTACTGCTCCTTGATAATTAGCACCTACCACCCTCCTAACACTTATATTCCTTTAAGGGCTAAACGAGATCTAAGAGCAATGCACCCATAAATACCATGGGGAACTGTGATTCCTATGTTTAAAGGTATTGTCGCCTGCCCTCCAGCTGGCACCACTTCCCCTTCTGGCATTACAAGATCTGCTCTTGCACTGTCAGATGTTGCTCGAAGGGGTAGCTTGCCATATGGCTGAATTTTCTACACGCTAAGATGGTCTATTAGTGTAGAAACAATTAGCTCAATCATGTATTGCAAAGATGTTTGTCCAGTACAAATGGAGTGATTAATTAATTCAAATTCTGCTTGTTCAAGAACTATCCATCACCTCTTCAGTGTGTTATGATCCAGATGGTCAAGGCAAAGCAGGCCTCTAGAGAAACTTCATTTATACTGGTGTAGGAAGTTAGCACCCACCCCTTTCCTAGAGGAATGAAATATTTTTAGGAAATATTAAAAAAGGCTGAATATTATATTTCCCTGGATGTGAAATGGATAAGCATGTTTTGAAGCAGTTCCCATCTTCCTGCCCCCACCCTTTGTCAATGGGCCATTAAGGCCTGGTCCAGTCTATTCTACACAACAAAGATCTACCTCCTTCAGGCAGAGCCATAGTAGGAATTGCCAAAGATCCAACAAAGATAGGATTAGTCCTCTACACAATAGCAGCAGAAACTCACCACATGTGACCTGGGAAGCATGTGACCTGGGAAGCACATGTGACCATCAGCCAGCAAGGCTAGCTAAGACCCCCACCCCTGGGAGTCTGACAACCAATCAGAATACTGTTTCGGGGCCCCAGGAAATGGGGAGAGAGAGCATAAAAACCCGAGGATTTACTGTATCTGCCCTTTTCTGTTCAGGAACTCAAGCCATGTGATCCTGTCCACCATTAAACCATCTTTCCAAGCAGTCTCCATGTTTCCAGTGTCTTTTTCCCCACTTGGAGCAGAACCCAGAAGGATGTTTCTTCCTACACTGGTATAGTTCTACTTCTGGCTCAAGGCAATGAAGAAAAACCCTGAGCTGCATAAGAAAACCCATAGTGGGACTAGGCAAATTGTAATACATGCTAAGTATGTTTGAACTTAGCTGGACATCAAACGCTTGAACTCTTGTCTGTTTTCCCTCATTTCTAGAATAAAAAAATACAAACGATAATAAGAATTTCAAAGAGAAGTACAGTTCCTATTTTATTAATAGCAGAGAATTTAATGATGCCTTGTTCGATCATCTACTTAAAGTTGAGAATCAAACATTACAAGGTTACAGAAAGACCCTTCTTGGAAGGTCATCTCTAATTCAATTCCATTTCAAAGTGTATATCACAAATTATTTTCCTCCACTGAGCTGGAAATAGGCTCAGGATCCTCCTGAATATCCCAGCAGAACCTAAAGGGCAGCTTTTCCACTCTCTCCTTAAAGACACGGTCAAATCTTTCATTCTGGGCAACAGTCATGAGGTTCTTCCAGTCCCCAATAGTGCCTGGGGAACAATGGATAAAAATGTCAACAGTTTTAACTGGTTTACTGAATTAAACCAGAGGCTATTTATATCATCCTTTAATCCTGCAGGCTTTTTAAAGGAAGCAGTTCTGACACTGGAGGAGGACAGTGTCCAGGGTAGAGAGTGAAGAGTTTATGTCTCCCTCATCCTAAAGTGGCCAGTGTGAGCTAGAACAATCCCATTCCCAAAGGATCATTAGACTCTGCAGGCAACAGTCAGATTATATCCATGCCAAAAATCTGTCAGAGTGACAAGAACACTACTTAACATTGGTATAGCTAAGAAAGACCTATGGCTGTCTTAGATGTAGGCTGGTGATGAGACTAGCACAACATTATGGACAGCAGAGGGGTTGTTGGGATACATTTGTATCACTTAAGGAGGTGTCTTTCAAATGAAGGCAGTAATCCTGGTTTAAAATGAACCCTGGTAAGTTAAAACCAGAGTATGAATTTCTATTGATTTACCTTTGCGAAGAAAGTCTCCTTTTCTGCAATCTACAATGTCAGGAGGCATGAATGTGTAGTTTGCTCTAGAATCCACTTTCATGTTATCAAATGTAGCTTTATCTACCACATCATCCACCTCCTTTCCACTTAGTTCTCTTCCTAGGAAGTTGCATATTTTCAGTACAGAACTTCTCAGATCCTGCAATTCGATACAGCTTTATATTAGGTCATCCACAACAATGGAGAAAAGACAGAAAGGTATCTCACATATACTGCTATCACTCACTCCCACAGTCTTTAATTCTTTCTTTTCTTACTGAAAAAAATTACCCTGATAAAGTCATTTGTGTTTTTTTTTAATGAAAACTCTACATGCACATAGGAAGCAATATCAATGGATTAAACACAGAAGTGCTTCCTTAGGACTGCTGCTAAAGTAAGAGGCAAGTCGCTGAGAAATAATCTTGGATCTCAGTATATTTACTGTATATGAACAATTTTCTTAAGATTCAGGCCCTTACATTCTTAACAATCTTGGCAGCATCAGAGGCTGGCCAATTCTATAGCTAGGCTAAATAAATGCCTTGACCTCTCTTAAAAATGCAGTTGAGTTGAGACAATCTCTTTTGAGCCAAAACAGTAGAATATTATGAGACACTTTGGCTAATATTTTGCTGAATTATAGGTGCAGATTCCCATATTGGATTCCCTTACCAGTCAGTAACTTTTATCAAAGAGTAAGATCAACTTTTTTTTTTTTTTGCAACATTGGTTTCCAACAGATACATGCTGGCTCTTTGAATTCTAGCATACCTGGACAAGTGCATATTATTCATTAATCTGATGTCAAGGTGACAAGAGACTAGTTTCCTGGATCTGCCACCTTTCTTTGGAAGAGGTGACATTTACTTTTTTTCAGAAATTTCACCAGTCCTTCAGGAGTTCACAGAGATAACTAAGAGTGGTTCTGTAATTACCTGTCTGCTCCTTTCCTGAATAAGGTATTCTACACATTCCTCCCTTTCTAAAGCCTCCTGTGCTTCAAGGTTGTTCATATTGCACTACACATTTACACATCTTACCTTTTTCATTTCTTCATAAGAAAGGAAGAGAATATTGAAATCACCCTTATGAGCGTACCAGCCTTCTACATGGTCAAGCCACAAATTACTAGGCACTGATAGGAGAGAAATGAAACTCACTACTTTTCAAATGAATATATTAACTTTTGTTAATTTTAGATTCTGTCCATTCATGCCCAACATAATCACACCCTGATTTTAAGCCACCAAACAATTTACCTCTCTCTGTTTTTCTCCTCCTTATTAAATGGATCCTCGTATTTTCTTCTCACTCTCCCTTAATAAGGTGCCTTCTCTTGCCTCTCCCGCCCCCTTTTACATCATGAGTTGTCCTAGGAATCCTTCATCTCTACCCATTCGTCCCATTATAAACCATTTTCATAAAGGTTTACACAAATTATTGCATAAATAAAATCATTATACTTATGTTAAGGGACAGGGTGGGTTGTTTGCTTTTGTAGGAAGTGGATTGAAATGTATTCATAATCTCTTACCCAAGACAAAAATTGACAAAACATGTCATGATCAAGGTCTTCTTACCTTTGCCAGACAAAAACCACTCCAAGAATGTATCAAAATCTTTTGGTGTTTCCCTTACAGGTGTAATTTTGGTAAAATGATAGGTAGAAACCAAGACATCCTTTGGATTTCTAAGCACATAAATAATCTGTAGGAGAAAAATGATCATATCTAGTCAAAATGTTATTGTCAGATCCTCCAAGTGGAGTGAATGCAAGGATGGCTTTCAGCTTCATACCCCAGGAAGAAAGTGGGATGGATGAAAGTCTTCCTTGAAGCTTGGTAGACCGTAGGGGACCTTCTGGAGGTCAGAACTCCATTTCTACTTTATTTCACAATATGTTAACTGTCCATGAATGAAATCTCTCTCTATTTATCTATCATCAGCTAGCTGTTTGTATAGATGCCCATCTCACAGTGACACTTGGTGATGAACACAATTAAATAAATGGCAGACAAGGGGGCAGATGGGAGAGGACAGCATGCATCGACCTCCCAATATCTTCCCCCTGAAGGCTACAGGAACATTGTGGAGACGTTTCCCCCTTCCCTCTTTCTCCTTTTCCTACCTTCAGCATTTGCCTTGTGGCAAGATGGGATAATAATAATAGTAATAATAATAATTATGATGATAATGTAATAATAATAACCATCAAGAAAGAAACGGAAGTTTTAATACTTGCTGCTCAAGAACAAGCACTACAAATGAATGCCATGAAAGCAAAGATACAAAAACCCACTGACAATGCAAACTGCCGACTTTGCAATGACAAAGTTGAAACTGTTTGACACTTAATATGTGAGTGCAGCAAAATCATGCAAGCTGATTACAAAGCTAGACATGATCGAGTTGCTAAATTAATCCACTGGTCATTATGTAAAAAATATGCCCTATCTGTATCCGAAATACGCCCTATCTGTATCATGGGACCATTAAGTGGAAAAAGTTGTCGAAACTGAGATGGTGAAGATATTGTGGGACTTTCGAATACAGACAGATCGTCATTTGTAACACAACACGCCAGATATCATAGTTGTCAAGCATACAATTTATTGATATCGCTGTACCAGGGGACGCCAGAGTCGAAGAAAAAGAACTGGAAAAAATCATGAAATATCACAACCTAGCCATTGAAACTACACAGTTATGGGTAAAACATGCAACAGTGATACCCATTGTCATTGGGGAACTTGGTACCATGCCCAAGAATTTTACAAAACACATCAATAAATTGTAACAACACCAGCAGAACTGCAAAAAAATGTGCTACTTGGAACATTGTATATTTTAAGAAGATACTTGGTTGATACCTAGGACACTGGCAGCAAACCGTATCAACCATTAGCACCAGTCAATGGCATTTGTGATGCATTTTTGAATGTTCAGTTGACTGAGTTTCATGTTTAATGAATAAAGTAAATAGTAGTAACAGTACAGTCATCTAACAGGCTCCATTCTGTCATGGGATCTCAAGGCTTATTGGCAAACCATGTTTTCAGGATCTTCCAGAACGCCATCAGGGCTGGGGCCAGACTCACCTTGGCAGGAATGATGTTCCATTGGACAGGGGCCACATTAGATAAAGCTTTCCTTGTAGGCCCTGTGCTACAAAACTCTAGGTGACAAGACCCCCCCCCATAAAACCCCCCATGTTTCATCTGCTGGATTTGATGGGATGGGTTGATGTAACTGGAGATCAGAGGGACTTCAAATAACTTGTTCCCAACTCATGGAGGACATCAAAGGTTCCAACCAGCTTCTTGAATTGGATCCAGAAGCAAGCTGGTAGCCAAACTGGTAACAGTTCATAAAACAGGTGTAATGTGCACAATTCTTGGATAACACAAAACTGCCCATGCTGTTGCATTTTGTACCAGTTGAAACTTCTGAATGTCTTTAAGGGAATCCCCATGTAAAGATGTTATAGTAGTCGATCTGAGATGTGACTACAGTATGAGTGACAGAGAGTAGAATGTTCAGATTTGAAAACAAAAGGTAACATTCCTCAAATTGGTACCCTCCAGAGCTAGCCATGCAGCATAAAAGTTACAATCCATCTGGAAGTGTCATTTTGGAAAAGGTAAGATTAAAGATCTCTCTCTATATGGATCTTTAGTTTGCTTCTTAGCCTGTTTCCGCCAGGCAGGACATTCTGGGTTCCCTGTTTTGTTTGAGGTATTTTCTCTTGTACTTCAAACTTTGTTAGCACACACCAAACACAATGGAACAATGTAGTATCTGTGTCTTTGCCCTTACCTGTTTGTCAATAAAACATTCAGATTTAGAGATAAAAGAAGACAGAAAGCTCCCCAGTACATCTCAGGATACATACAGTGTAGCAAACTAGGTCCTACCTTTGCTCTTTTATTTTGTAATCCTTTGGGTACCAAATAGTAAGGCAGATGGGAAGTAAAGAGACGAGGTGATGGGCGATTGGGAAAATCTATGTGGGAAATATTACATTCCAGCCATGGAGCTCTGTCAATCAGAGTAATATTTTCAGTTCCATCTCGATGACCTTCATGAAGAATCAAGCTCACAATATTTTGAGTCCATATTGTGCCTGGAAGTAAACAACTAAATTAATTCATGCAGAGTGATTATTATTTGGACAATGCTGAAATTATGCAAAGTATACTTTCCTATTAGAAAGGATAGTAAACATTTCAGAGAAACATAAAAACAGTTGCTTCTTCTCAAATATTTCATAGATGTATGAGAGAAAGTTAGCTCTGAAAAGTAAAATAAAATAAAAATGGTCAAAATGCAGATTTAGCAGCTTTATTTTCTACATTTCTTACAAGTTCTAAAAAATGCCAAATGTTAAAAATCTGGTTACAGCATAGCAAAGTTGCAGCAACCAAAATATTAAAACCGGATACAGGCTTAACTCTTCCTCAGAAGACATCTTTAAACTTACCAGATTTAGGATATGTGATTATAAATATATCATCATCTCGGATTTCAAAACTTTCCAGTGAATCTATACTTTCAGGTGACACCCCTTCTACAAAATAGCATCCTTTGTGTTTATACAGGAACTTATTTACTGGTTCCATTATTTGACCTGTTGATATAATAATAGAGCAATTGACAATTGTTCCCACGTTTATGGTCAATCATGTATTAATTCTTTTTTAAAAAGCATACTTCCTGGAAACAAAGAAAAACAAAATATATTATTAGATCAGTTTCTGTAGAAGAGGCAAAGCCTGGGGCAGAGTCAAGCGGGGAATAAGTTTGGAGTCCTTACATTCCCACAAGCAATCTATGAAGAATTATGGATTTACCAAGTATGAAATTCAAATCTTAATTGTTCACAGCTGGACTACAATTTAATCAAAATATAGTTTCCATTCTATGCATAAATGGGCACTCTATAAGTATAATTTAAAAAATTGAGCAGTTTTATTCTGTGTGGTCAAACTTTACCATTGCATTTAAAAATTGGGTTGAGTGACTTTTCAATATTTAACATATGTTGCTAAATCCATCTCAAAATAAGCTTTTAGTTAGCTAACATGCTAATGATTAACTTTCTACCTCTGGATTTTGCCTGGACATTCTTGACAGCACCTTAAGCTAAATACTACCTTTCCTTGTTTTAGTAACAGGCCCACTTATAAAATTCTTCAGCCACATCATGTCAGCTAGACTGACACTTATTACATAAGAAGCATCTGTGGCCAGGGTGTAGTATGTATTGTGTAACTGAGTGGGAAAATATACAAGGAATAATTTCATGGTGCAATGTAGTGGCATAGTCTTTGAACTACATTTTTTTTTTTAATTTGATTTATATGCTGCCCTTCTCCGGAGACTCAGGGTGGCTTACAATGCGTTAAGCAATATTTAATAAGTAAAATATTTAATAAGTAAAACATGATTTTCAACTCTGTAGATACTGAAAACAGCTTGGATACCACCAAGTTCTCTAATTGTTTTCTACAGGTAAGGTCAAATTATCTACATTCAGTTAATTGTCAAGCTATAAGAATGTTGTAAATCCTAATTTTATGCAAAGTTACTCAATTGCTCACTTATTCAAAAAGATGCTGGGAAATATTTGCATATCGTGGCTTCATGGGTATATCTATGGAGTGAACTGAGGGAGTCTTCAGTATTGTGTGCGTTTTCCGTATCAGAGGTTTTATCAATAGTTCTCATAGTATCCAGGGGTTGTTTGATTTGACTCTTCCAAAATAATTTTACAGCATTACCACTTGGAAGAGCAAATAAGAACATCCCTGGATGAGAAGAGACTTGATGAAATACAATCCTATTGCACAGACACACACTTCTTGAGAAAGATACTTGAAAAGATTGCAATAGATCAGCTTCATGGATCTCCTCAAGATCAAGGAATTATAGATTAACTCACAGATCTAGGAACTGAGTAGATCTTGGGTTCTGATATAAGCGCCCCCCCCCCCGCGCCACATGGTATAGATTCATCTCTAGATGCTCAGTGGCTAGGACACTGAGCTTGTCGATCAGAAAGGTCGGCAGTTCGGCGGTTCAAATCCCTAGTACAGGTCTCCTGCATGAGCAGGCGATTGGACTAGATGACCTCCAAGGTCCCTTCCAACTCTGTTACTGTTATGTGTTCCCTGGGATGTCTGATTGGGCCTTATCTGGTAGCTGTGTTGTAACATCCTCTCCTTAGAAATACAGCAATGTTCTTTGCATGGGTCTGCCCTTAATGATGACTCAGAAATTACAGAAAATTCAAAACATGGTAACAAAACTCAACCAAAAGATCCTTGTACAGGAACTTACATGAGACTTAAGGTTGGGAAATATCATTTAAAACCTTAAAATTTTTAGACAGCTATTATTTGAGGATATGCCTTTCTTGAAAAACACCATTTTGTTTCCATTCATCATGATAAAATGGAACGAAGTTTGCTTGGAGATGGGTCAATGACACAAGGCTGGGAGAAGAGTTATGCAAGAATGTGGGAAAGAGCTTCTCTGTTGCCGCATCTGTCGCAACACTTAGGCAAGAAAAACCAAAAGTACACATATACACTGGGTAAAACCAGGCTTAACAGCAATAACTGTGAGTGGGAACTTGGAGTCTTAGTGGACAACCAATTAAATGTGAGCCAACAGGGTGCAGTGGCAGCCAAAAAAGCCAATGCTTCAGGTTGGCTATATTGTATTAACAGGGGGATACAATCAAGATCACGGGGTTTTAATATAACTTATATATGTACATTATCTTTTTATAATTTTAACTGATTGTTTTATTGTTGTGAGCCGCCCTGAGTCTTCGGAGATAGGGCGGCATATAAGTTTTATTAATAAATAAATAATTAATAAATAAATTAAATATGAGCCAACGGTGCAGCAGCAGCAGCCAAAAAAGCCAATGCTTCAGGTTGGCTATATTGTATTAACAGGGGGATACAATCAAGATCACGTGAGCTACTAATACCACTCTTTAAAGCCTACTGCATCCAGTTTTGGTCACTACGCTATAAAAAAGATATTGAGACTCTAGAACAAGTGCAGAGAAGAGCAAGCAAGATGGTTAAGGGACTGGAAGCTAAAACTTACAATGAACAGTTGCAGGAACTGGGCATGGCAAGTCTACTGAAGAGAAGGACCAGGAGAGACATGATAGCAGTGTTCCAATATTTGAGGGGCTGCTACAGAGAGGAAAGGGTCAACCTTTTTTCCAAAGCACCTGAAGCCAGACAAGGAATAATGGATAGAAACTGAACGAGAGTTTTAACCTGGAAATAAGGAGAAATTTTCTGAAGTGAGAACAATCAACCAGTGGAACAGCTTGCCTTCAGAAGTTATGGGAGCTTCATCACTGGAAAATTTCAAGAAGAGATTGGACTGCCATGTGTCAGAAATGGTGTAGATCTCCTGTTTGAAGGGGGGTTGGACTAGATTACCTACAAGGTCCCTTCCAACTCTGTTAATCTGTTAATCTTGGCCTGGAACAATGTCTTTCTTAGGCAGCCAAGTTGATTTCAACTTTATCTGCTTTTTGACTTCAGATTACTTAGAGCCCATAGTCTAACTATACTTTTTATCCCTTCAGAATTGCTGTTAAATGTTAACCAGATTTGAGTATGTTTTAGCTGCAGGAGCCTCATCAGTGAAAGTTATGGTTTATAACTGTCTCAGAGGTGCTTTTTCAAAAGGCAACTGGACTTTATTTTGCCTTGAAGACATTTTGCTTCTTATCCAAGAAACTTTTTCACTTTTGGAAGAGCTTCTTGGATGAGAAGTGAAACATCTTCAATGAAAAACAAAGAATGTCTGGTTGCCTTTGAAAAAGCACTTTTGGGACAACCATGAGCTGGATGACTGAGAACCTCGATAGACATTTATGGTTTATGGATGCCTGTCACTTGTCATATATGTGACACCTCTGATCCATAAGCTGCACTAGTTGCCTTCAATTCAAGGAACTGATGGTTACCTTTAAAACCATTCATGGCTTGGGGACTAAGTTATTTGCAGGACCATCTCTCCCTAGTCATCTCTCCCTGTCCTACTAGATCTGGCAGGAGAAGCGTTTTTTGGATCCTGACCTGTTATGTGGCAGGACCCAAGAGGAAAGGTTTTTCTATCTCGATACTCTGAGACATCATTCCCCCAGATAACATTTTGCCCTGACCTTGCTGGCCTTTTGGGAATCCTTGAAAACTCGGTTTTGTAGTGGAGTCATGGACCCTGATTTGAGTCTCTATCACAGCTATTTATTGTTGCTGATTTTTTTTTTGGCTGCTATATAATGATCATTAATTTTGTTATACTCTTTTAAGTATTGCTAGCTGGCCAGAGGCATATGTTTGAGATGGGTGGCCATACAAAACAAATAGTAAGTAAAAAAACAGCCCTTTCTCCTTGCTCTGTAAAACCAATGATAATCCCATTTGAGAAATTTTATACATACACACTCCTGCTCATACTAACCCACAGATCAGTATAAGAAAGTTGTAAAAGTATTGCACAAATGGCCGATAATAAGAGTGTACACATGTAGTCCTCAATATACAACCACAACTGAGCTTGGAATTATGGTTAAGTCATTGTGGCTAAAAATTGAGTCACCACCTGATTTCACTCGATTACATTTGCCTTTCTCAAGGGTTATTAAATAATAATCATTAAATAAACATGAGGGTGATTACGTAGAGCACAAACTGCCCGCAGGAAGCCCTGAGAGCTGGAGGCCTATCACCCAGCTGGGTCCCAACAGGACAAGCAGCAACAAGCTTTGCTTAATGCACCGTAACCCACCCTGAGTCTCCGGAGAAGGGCAGCATATAAATCAAATTTAAAAAAAAAAACTGGCCCAACAGGAGGGAAGTGCTTAGCTGGATTAGAGCCTAAGCATCCCCTTCTGATTCTGAAGAGGCTCCCAAACAAACCTACATAGTTGGCCATGAGAAGCCCTGATGTTTTGAACCCTTGCTTGTGGGCTAGCTGGCAGTAAAGAGACTGCAGGCCTCCCCTACCTCTTCCTATGCTTCAGGAAACTGAACTCCCTGCATGCAAAGATGGCAGCTGCCAGACAAGCTTTCCAAAACTTTCCCCTTGTTTTAACCTCACCCTCCTCCTGCACAAACCCACTTTTTTTCCGGTGAAGAAAGCGATATAAAAATGCTGGAAGGGACAAACTTGTTGATCTTTCTCTTCCCCTTCCAGTGCTTCCACCCACCGGTGCTTTGGTGGAATGAAGCTCAATTCTCCGCCTCTGCCCTCCAATCTCCGTCTCCTTGAACAAACTCAATTTGCTAAATTTACCGCGTGCACCTAGAAAGAGGGTGACAAAATCTGTTAAGTGACTTACCTTGATGAGCGACTGGCAGGCTGAAGAGGAGAAGAAAAGAATCTTCCAGGGATTTAGCTTAAACGGAAGGGGAGGGGGGGAGCTGAACAACAACAACAACAAAACTTTAGAAAGTTTTTTCCTTCTATGATCCAGTTTGCTACATGTGTTCTGGCAGTTTCTCCGTTCAGCTCTCCAAATAAACAACCCACAGAAGATTTTTCTTTGCTTTCTTCATTCTCTCTCCTCTCCCCCCTCCCCACTTCTTTATAAAATTTTACTCCGCCCCTTCCAAGGACAAGCAGGAACTGCTAATGTTCGGACAAGCACGGTTAGGCTTATGGATACATGCAAAGCTATGGTTCATGTTTGTGCCAGGCATGCCCAGAGCAGATCCAGACATATCAGAATTCATAGCCGGGTCTTTTTAAAATGATTCTGCACACATGCTGAGTCCTAGGCTTGTCATTTACAGGCAGCTGTGAAATCCAGCAGGTCAAACGTCTGTGTGCAGTTGAAAATAATACAGCAGCCTCCGATTCCAAAGTGTTTACTAATGATTCTGCAAATTACATTGTTAGATACCACCAACGTGTGGGACAACTCAAGGCCTCTGCTAACAGAACGCAACAAAGCCTGTTGTTGGAATTTTGATAAAATTATGTCTTCAGACTGATTTTGGATGTTATAAACCAGCGGCCGCCAACCTTTGAGCACCAGGGATCTGTTCCATGGAGAGAGGTTTTTCTGTGGACCGGAGGGGACATGGTTTCTTGTGCTGCCTGCATCCTGCGGTGGGGCTTCATTAGTTTTTTGCGGCTCAGTTGCTGGCATGCCACAACCCAGTGCCGGTCCATGGACCAGAGGTTGGGGACCCCTGTTATAAACCATGTTGTAATTTTAGTGATGAAGAGTAATGGAAAACATAGGACGTATCCTGTAATTCTCACTAGACAGACTGTGAAATGGCAAACAGAGTTGGTTCTCCCTTTGATAACTTTCCATCAGTTACTTCAGGTCCTTTGGAGAATAGGTTGACCTCCTTTTTTGTGGCAGCCACTCAAATATTGGAACACTGCTATCATGTCATGTAGATTTTGTCTTAATGAATCTACTCTTTACTTCAAATATAAAAGAAGTCTGTTGGCATTCCTTGATAGCTGGACTAAGCCCATTCTCTGCATTCAAAGCAACTACAAGTAGTCCCTGATTTACAACCACAATTGAGCACAACATTTCTGTTGCTAGTTGAGATATATGTTAAGTGAGTGCTGTCCCATTTTATGACTTTTCTTGCCTCAATTGCTAAGTGAATCACTGCAGTTGCTAAGCTAGTAACACGGTTGTTAAGTGAATCTGGCTTCTCCATTGATTTTGCTTGTCAAAACATTGCAAAAGGTGATCACTGCAACCATCAGAAATATGAGGCAGTTACCAAGTATCTGAATTTTGATGATGTGATCATGGGAATGCTGGTTGTAAGTGTGAAAATGGTCATAAGTCACATTTTCAGTGCTGTTATAACTTTGAATGGTATTTAAATGAACAGCTGTAAGTCGAGGACTATCTATACGTCACGGACATTTTATTTTTCAGAAGTGTTGTTCTGTTAGTTTTGCTTTTCTTTTGCTTTCCAATCTCCCACAGTAGGAAAGTGATATAATATTTGAGTAATTATATGACCTGATCAAATATAATTACACAACTCAAAAGTCTCTGTCCTCATCTGGATGTGAAAACTTAAATTCCCAGAATTCCTCAGTCAGCATACCATCAGAGAACAGGCTATTTGCACATGGAATTAAAGTGAAGACTGGCTTGCTTGCCATTGTGTGCATGATTTGCAGGATACATCCTACAAGAAGAGATCTTATCGGCTGGCAACCAATGGAAATTCTGCCCATTCACTTCTGGCATAATTCTGAATCTGATGATGTCCCTTCTGTTGTGACCTGATGATAAGCCACCATTAAAAAAAGCACACAGTCCTAGTACTATGGTCTCTAGTTAAGTTAAAATACAGGCAGTCCTTGACTTGCAAGTTTATTTAGTGACTGTTCAAAGTTAAAATGACACTGAAAAAGTGAATTATAGCTGTTTTTCACACTTATAATTGTTCCCCATGGGGATGATCAAAATTCAGATACTTGGCAACTGACTCATATTTATAAAGGTTGCAATGTCCCGGGATCATGTGATCATCTGTTGTGACCTTCTGATGAACAAAATCAATGGGGAAGCCAGATTCACTTAACAATCGTGTTACTAATTTAGGTCGTAAAATGGAGCGAAGCACACGGCCCCGTTGCGAACCGGTAGTAAAGGTAAGTAGAACCCACCCCTTTTGAATACCAAGAGATCAAGGTAGCTATCAGTGACTTATTTTTTCCTGGCTTAAAAATGTGAGTCAGAGAAAATTGTGGGGTGAATACCGGTAGTAAAGAGCTATACTACCAAGTTGTAGTATAGAAAAAGTTCCTTCTTTCGCATGGGTCAAAGCAGAGGATGGAAGTTAAATCTTTTGTTTCTGGATAGGGTTTTGCCACGCCAGAAAGCAAGACTCGAATTATGCAGAATTCCCTTGCTCAGTAAAGGATGCCAACATGGGAGAATTATTTAGATACTCTTTTTTTAATTTACCAAATTATATGCCCTTTCAACATTAATGTCTACTAATTGCAGAATGATTTTCAGCAGGATATGTTATTTAAAACATACAGAGGGGGAGAATAAAACTTCCCAAAGAGAAAGTTTAGTTACAGTATGAAATTTAAATATACATTGCTTGTATCATATTACAGAATTCTTACCAGATTTTGGATAAGTGACAACATATCACTATCCTGATTTCGAATTTTTCTACTGCCTCAAGGTGCTCAGGTTTCACCAAATCTTCTGAGAAATTAAGCCCTTTAAAATCCAACAATTCTGCATATTGCTTTTTTCCCTACCAATGTAAGAGTATCTGCAATAAAAGAGAAATTATACTATTTTTCCAGTATAATGCTAGCAGCTGGCACTTAGACACACTGTCAAGTTCTCTCACTTCATAAGTTCTTGGTCTCAACCATTCAGAGCTGGTAGTCAGCAATGATCCTCAAGAAAAGACAACCTGGAAAAAGTGGATTATTTTTATACAGTTGTTAAAATTGTAACTTAAAGTGTTACATTTAAGGGTTTCAGTCTTATCAAAAGAGAAACAAGCAAGGTGGAATTATTATAGCTGCTACATATTCCCGGGAGATAGAGAAGGTTCTGAAACTGAATATTTAAAAAAGTAATAAAAATATATGTTGGCATCATCTCTGATGGAAAGATGATGAGGAATTTAAGGAATTTCTCAGGATTTAATGGACAATGGCATTACTATAAATGTGTTTTAGCAGAGACTGCAATTTAAAAGCCAAATGTTTATTTGCTTAATGTAATGATTTGGTTTTTTTAAAAATCCTCTTTGTTTGTGATTTTACAGATCATCAGGCATTTGGCTATCAGCTCTTCAATTCTGTGTGATGTATCCAGCCTGCAGGCTGCCACTTTGACACCCCTGAATTATACAAGAAATGGGAAGAATCTCTCATCCTAACTGATTTCTATAAAGACTCCTTCAGTGCCAATTTTTTTCTTTTCTTTTAAAAGAGACTTATATTGGACCTTTAAGCCAGCTGGGTGACTTTTGCTCAGTCATTCTTGTTCATCCCAACCCATCTTAGGGTTGTTATGGAGAAAATAGGAGGAAAGAATATTAGTTATGTTTGCTGCCTTGAGTTATTTACAATTTATAAAAGCAGGATATAAACAGATAAGTGAATAAACACAGTTACTGTAAACTTCATAGGCTTTTTAAATCAGCCAACTGCTGCTCCCATTTATTGGTGCTCTCATTTAATGTGAAAAAAATATTGGGAGTGGAGGAGGAGGAAATCGGTTAAAATTTGCTGTTGATAAAACATACCCAAGGCTTCAGAGTTAAGGTGGGTTTACTAAGACTGGAGATTTCAAATCCTTTTTTAGCTTTGGAAACAGGATTATTATTGTGGGGCTAAAATGAAGGGGGATTGAAAGAAATGCAGGGTCTTTGAAGAAATGCAGGCAAAAGAAAGAGAGAGAGAGAGAGCAGAGAGAGAGAAGGAAGGAAGGAAGGAAGGAAGGAAGGAAGGAAGGAAGGAAGGAAGGAGGAAAAAGAGAGGAAAAAATCTTACTGATGTTTGTATTTGTTGGGTTATTAATCCTCTCCATTACTACAAGCTCTTGCGTCAAATCGGTCGGACGCTTCAACCGGTTCTGGCGCTTGGGCTGTATGTAACCAGCGGAGGCCCCGCCTTTTCGACTCGCGGCGGCTGTCACGGAGTTGAGCAAGCGCCACAAAAGCCCCTGTCGTCGCCGCGGCTTTCCTGTTTTCCTCAGCCGCTCAGCAAATTGCGCCTTTCTGTTCCGCTGCTGCTATGGCCTCGGGGACTAGGCCTCTGCTAGGACACATCTGCGTGGTGACCGGCGCCTCGCGGGGCATCGGGAAAGGCGTCGCGCTGCAGCTGTCGGAAGCGGGCGCCACCGTCTATATCACGGCCCGGCACCGGGAAACTCTGGAGCAAGCGGCGGCGGAGGTGCAAAGCCGGGGCGGCAAGTGCGTGCCGGTGGTGTGCGACTCTACTCGAGAGGAAGACGTGGCGGCGTTGTTCCAGCGCGTCCGAGAGGAGCAAGCCGGCCGCTTGGATGTTTTGGTCAACAGCGCTTTCTCCGCGGTGACTACCCTGTCCAAAGAGATCGGGGTGCCGTTCTGGGAAAGCGAGCCGTCCCTCTGGGACCAGGTCAACAACGCCGGCCTGAGAGGCAACTATTTCTGCACGGTTCATGCCGCCCGGCTCATGGTGCCCGCCGGGCGCGGTCTCATTGTCATCATCTCCTCGCCCGGTGGGCTGCGGTACATGTTCGACGTCCCGTACGGGGTGGGCAAAGCTGCCTGCGACCGCCTGGCGGCTGACTGTGGCGTCGAGCTGCGCCCCTTCGGCGTGGCCTGCGTCTCCCTTTGGCCCGGGCTCGTTCGCACCGAACTGGTCGTGCAGCAAGTGGAGAATGTCAAGGAACAATTCAAGGATCTGTGGGAGCGGCTGGCGAACAAGGCAGAAAGTCCCGAAGTGAGCGGGAAATGCGTGGTGGCCTTGGCTTCGGATCCCCACGTCATGAGGCACAGCGGCAAGGTGGTCCTCAGCCCAGACCTTGCCCGGCTCTACCGGTTTAAGGACGTGGATGGGCGAGACGTCTATAATTATGTTTCGGTTCGGGAATGCCTTACCGAATTGATGCCCAAGCTCTCTTTCCTTCTCTGGTTCATTCCCCGCTTTATCACTTTCCCTAAGTGGGCTCTTGCTCTTTATTCCAGCAAGTTTGCTATCTACCCTCCCATTCAGCCTGCGGATTTTAAACCAGTTAAAAAAGACTGATCCGTGTGGTGTACACCTTAGGTGCATGTTTGGCAACAAGATCAAGCTTTTGTGAAAAAAATGATTGTTTTGGTCAGTCGTTCTTCGACTGGTAAATTATTTCAGCTCTTAAAAATCTGGAAGAGTGAGTTTTTGCAGGAAGGGGTTTTACCCTTCTAAAAACTCATTTGAAGAATTTGCTTGGGGATTTCCTCTGAAATGAAATCTTAAGATCTGTTTCATTGTTTTTGAGATAGTACAGAAATGTTAAGTAACTTTGCAGCTAATGCTATCTAAAATGCAAGGTTTGGGGTTTATCAAAGAATCTTTCGCATACTTGAAAATGATCCAAGCTACTTGCAACTAAGAATACTGTAGTTAGAAGATGGCAAGACACCTGGGAAAAATGCTTTTTTGTTTTGCTTTTATCTATGTTGAACACATTTATATACTCTGCCAGAGCCTGTTTGTATCCCAGTCTTCTGTATTTTGTTTCCATAAAAACAATTGTCAGTTTGAATTGCCCTTGATAATATGAAGCTTACTTAAAACAAAAACAAAAACTTTGAAAGAAAAGGGTTCCTCTCCTCCCTTAAATTCAGTTTTGTCAAATTAATCCACTGGTCATTATGTAAAAAATACGCCCTATCTGTAACCAAAAAGTCATGGGACCATAAAGTGGAAAAAGTTGTCGAAACTGAGTTGGTGAAGATATTGTGGGACTTTCAAATACAGACAGATCGTTATTTGGAACACAACATGCCAGATATCATAGTTGTCAAGCATACAATTTATTGATATCGCTGTACCAGGGGATGCCAGAGTCGAAAAAGAACTGGAAAAAATCATGAAATATCACAACCTAGCCATTGAAACTACACAGTTATGGGTAAAACATGCAACAGTGATACCCATTGTCATCGGGGAACTTGGTACCATGCCCAAGAATTTTACAAAACACATCAATAAATTGTAACAACACCAGCAGAATTGCAAAAAAATGTGCTACTTGGAACATTGTATATTTTAAGAAGATACTTGGTTGATACCTAGGACACTGGCAGCAAACCGTATCAACCATTAGCACCAGTCAATGGCATTTGTGATGCATTTTTGAATGTTCAGTTGACTGAGTTTCATGTTTAATGAATAAAGTAAATAGTAATAACAATACAGTCATCTAACATCCCATGACAGAATGGAGATCTCAAGGCTTATTGGCAAAAAGCCATGTTTTCAGGATCTTCCAGAACGCCATCAGGGTTGGGGCCAGACTCACCTTGGCAGGAATGATGTTCCATTGGACAGGGGCCACATTAGAAAAAGCTTTCCTTGTAGGTCCTGTGCTACAAAACTCTAGGTGACGACACCCCCCCCCAATAAAACCCCCATGTTTCATCTGCTGGATTTGATGGGATGGGTTGATGTAACAGGGGATCAGAGGGCCTTCAAATAACTTGTTCCCAACTCATGGAGGACTTGTAATGTGCACAATTCTTGGATCACACACAACTGCCCGTGCTGTTGCATTTTGTACCAGTTGAATCTTCTGAATGTCTTTAAAGGAATCCCCGTGTAAAGATGTTATGGTAGTCTATCTGAGATGTGACTACAGTATGAGTGTCAAAGAGTAGAATGTTCAGATTTGAAAACAAAAGGTAACATTGCTCAAATTGGTACCTCCAGAGCTAGCCATGCAGCATTAAAATTACAATCCATCTGGAGGTGTCATTTTGGAAAAGGTAAGATTAAAGATTTCTCTCTTTAGATGGATCTTTAGTTTGCTTCTTAGCCTATTTCCACCAGGCAGGACATTCTGGGTTCCCTGTTTTGTTTGAGGTATTTTCTCTTGTACTTCAAACTTTGTTAGCACATACCAAACACAATGGAACAATGTAGTATCTGTGTCTTTGCCCTTACCTGTTTGTCAATAAAACATTCAGATTTAGAGATAAAAGAAGACAGCTCCCCAGTACATCTCAGGATACATACAGTGTAGCAAAATAGGTCCTACCTTTGCTCGTTTATTTTGTAATCCTTTGGGTACCAAATAGTAAGGCAGATGGGAAGTAAAGAGACGAGGTGATGGGCGATTGGGAAAATCTATGTGGGAAATATTACATTCCAGCCATGGAGCTCTGTCAATCAGGGTAATATTTTCAGTTCCATGTCGACCTTCATGAAGAATCAAGCTCACAATATTTTGAGTCCATATTGTGCCTGGAAGTAAACAACTAAATTAATTCATGCAGAGTGATTATTATTTGGACAATGCTGAAATTATGCAAAGTATACTTTCCTATTAGAAAGGATAGTAAACATTTCAGAGAAAAATAAAAACAGTTGCTTCTTCTCAAATATTTCATAGATGTGTGAGAGAAAGTTAGTTCTGCAAAGTAAAATAAAATAAAAATGGTCAAAATGCAGATTTAGCAGCTTTATTTTCTACATTTCCTACAAGTTCTAAAAAATGCCAAATGTTAAAAATCTGGTTACAGCATAGCAAAGTTGCAGCAACCAAAATATTAAAACCGGATACAAGATTAACTCTTCCTCAGAAGACATCTTTAAACTTACCAGATTTAGGATATGTGATTATAAATATATCATCATCTCGGATTTCAAAACTTTCCAGTGAATCTATACTTTCAGGTGACACCCCTTCTACAAAATAGCATCCTTTGTGTTTATACAGGAACTTATTTACTGGTTCCATTATTTGACCTGTTGATATAATAATAGAGCAATTGACAATTGTTCCCACGTTTATGGTCAATCATGTATTAATTCTTTTTTAAAAAGCATACTTCCTGGAAACAAAGAAAAACAAAATATATTATTAGATCAGTTTCTGTAGAAGAGGCAGAGCCTGGGGCAGAGTCAAGAGGGGAATAAGTCTGGAGTCCTTACATGCCCACAAGCAATCTATGAAGAATTATGAATTTGTATGAAATGCAAATCTTATTGTTCATAGCTGGACTACAATTTAATCAAAATATAGTTTCCATTCTATGCATAAATGGGCACTCTATAAGTATAATTTAAAACATTGAGCCAGTATTATTCTGTGTGGTCAAACTTTACCATTGTATTTAAAAATTGGGTTGAGTGTCTTTTCAATATTAACATATGTTGCTAAATCCATCTCAAAATAAGCTTTTAATTAGCTAACATGTTAATGATTAACTCTCTACCTCTGGATTTTGCCTGGACATTCTTGACAGCAGCTTAAGCTAAATGCCACCTTTCCTTGTTTTAGTAACAGGCCCACTTATAAAATTCTTCAGCCATATCATGCCAGCTAGACTGACACTTATTTCATAAGAAGCATTTGTGGCCAGGGTGTAGTATGTATTGTGTAACTGAGTGGGAAAATATCTTATACAAGGAATAATTTCATGGTACAATGTAGTGGCATAGTCTTTGAACTACATTTTTTTTTAATTTGATTTATATGCTGCCCTTCTCCGGAGACTCAGGGTGGCTTACAATGCGTTAAGCAATATTTAATAAGTAATATATTTAATAAGTAAAACATGATTTTCAACTCTGTAGATACTGAAAACAGCTTGGATACCACCAAGTTCTCTAATTGTTTTCTACAGGTAAGGTCAAATTATCTACATTCAGTTAATTGTCAAGCTTTAAGAATGTTGTAAATCCTAATTTTATGCAAAGTTACTCAATTGCTCACTTATTCAAAAAGATGCTGGGAAATATTTGCATGTCGTGGCTTCATGGGTATATCTATGGAGTTAATTGAGGGAGTCTTCACTATTGTGTATGTTTTCCGTATCAGAGGTTTTATCAATAGTTCTCGTAGTATCCAGGGGTTGTTTGATTTGACTCTTCCAAAATAATTTTACAGATTTACCCCTTGGAAGAGCAAATAAGAACATCCCTGGATGAGAAGAGACTTGATGAAATACAATCCTATTGCACAGACACACACTTCTTGAGAAAGATACTTGAAAAGATTGCAATAGATCAGCTTCATGGATCTCCTCAAGATCAAGGAATTATAGATTAACTCACAGATCTAGGAATTGAGTAGATCTTGGGTTCTGATATAAGTGCCCCCCCCCCCCCCGCCATGGTATAGATTCATCTCTAGATGGCTCAATGGCTAAGACAAGGTCGGCATTTCGGCGGTTCAGATCCCTAGTACAGATCTCCTGCGTGAGCAGGGGTTGGACTAGATAACCTCCAAGGTCCCTTCCAACTCTGATACTGTTATGTGTTCCCTGGGATGTCTGATTGGGCCTTATCTGGTAGCTGTGTTGTAACAACCTCTCCTTAGAAATACAGCAATGTTCTTTGCATGAGTCTGCCTTTAATGATGACTCAGAAATTACAGAAAATTCAAAACATGGTAACAAAACTCAACCAAAAGCTCCTTGTAAAGGAACTTAAATGAGACTTAAGGTTGGGAAATATCATTTAAAACCTTAAAATTTTTAGACAGCTATTATTTGAGGATATGCCTTTCTTGAAAAACACCTTTTTTGTTTCCGTTCATCGTGATAAAATGGAACAAAGTTTGCTTGGAGATGGGTCAATGACACAAGGCTGGGAGAAGAGTTATGTAAGAATGTGGGAAAGAGCCTTCTCTGTTGCCACATCTGTCGCAACACTTAGGCAAGAAAAACCAAAAGTACACATATACACTGGGTAAAACCAGGTTTAACAGCAATAACTGTGAGTGGGAACTTGGAGTCTTAGTGGACAACCAATTAATCAACTGGTACAGAATGTGGCCGCGCGGGTTGTGATGGGAGAGTCCCGATACTCCCATGTTACACCCCTCCTGCGCGACTTGCATTGGTTGCTGGTTGCCCTCCGGGTGAAATTCAAGGTGCTGGTGATGACCTATAAAGCCCTACATGGCTTAGGCCCAGGATATTGGGCGGACCATCTGCTGCCAGCAACAGCTGCCCATCGCCCGGTGCATTCTCACAGGGAGGGCTTGCTCTGGGTGCCGTCGGCTAGACAGTGTCGGCTGGCGACCCCTAGGAATAGAGCTTTCTCTGTGGACGTGCCCACCCTCTGGAATCAACTCCACCTGGGGCTCCAGTTGGCCCCTTCACACCTTCCACCGCAAATTAAAAACATGGTTGTTTACATCGCCCAGCCTGGACTGAGAGGGTTTTTAGAGTTTGGGGGTTTTAATATAACTTATATATGTACATTATCTTTTTATAATTTTAACTGATTGTTTTATTGTTGTGAGCCGCCCTGAGTCTTCGGAGATAGGGCGGCATATAAGTTTTATTAATAAATAAATAATTAATAAATAAATTAAATATGAGCCAACGGTGCAGCAGCAGCAGCCAAAAAAGCCAATGCTTCATGTTGGCTATATTGTATTAACAGAGGGATACAATCAAGATCACGTGAGCTACTAATACCACTCTTTAAAGCCTACTGCATCCAGTTTTGGTCACTACGCTATAAAAAAAGATATTGAGACTCTAGAACAAGTGCAGAGAAGAGCAAGCAAGATGGTTAAGGGACTGGAAGCTAAAACTTACAATGAACAGTTGCAGGAACTGGGCATGGCAAGTCTAGTGAAGAGAAGGGCCAGGAGAGACATGATAGCAGTGTTCCAATATTTGAGGGGCTGCTACAGAGAGGAAAGGGTCAACCTTTTTTCCAAAGCATCTGAAGCCAGACAAGGAATAATGGATAGAAACTGAATGAGAGATTTAACCTGGAAATAAGGAGAAATTTTCTGAAGTGAGAACAATCAACCAGCGGAACAGCTTGCCTTCAGAAGTTATGGGAGCTTCATCACTGGAAAATTTCAAGAAGACACTGGACTGCCATCTGTCAGAAATGGTGTAGGGTCTCCTGCTTGAACGGGGGTGGGGGTGGGGGTTGGACTAGATTACCTACAAGGTCCCTTCCAACTCTGTTAATCTGTTAATCTTAGCCTGGAACAATTTCCTTCTTAGGCAGCCAAGTTGATTTTAACTTTATCTGCTTTTTGACTTCAGATTACTTAGAGCCCATAGTCTAACTATACTTTTTATCCCTTCAGAATTGCTGTTAAATGTTAACCAGATTTGAGTATGTTTTAGCTGCAGGAGCCTCATCAACGAAAGTTATGGTTTATAACTGTCTAAAGGTGCTTTTTCAAAAGGCAACTGGACTTTATTTTGCCTTGAAGACATTTCGCTTCTTATCCAAGAAACTTTTTCACTTTTGGAAGAGCTTCCTGGATGAGAAGTGAAACATCTTCAATGAAAAACAAAGAATGTCTGGTTGCCTTTGAAAAAGCACTTTTGGGACAACCATGAGCTGGATGACTGAGAACCTCGATAGACATTTATGGTTTATGGATGCCTGTCACTTGGCATATATGTGACACCTCTGCTCCATAAGCTGCACTAGTTGCCTTCAATTCAAGGAACTGATGGTTACCTTTAAAACCATTCATGGCTTGGGGACTAAGTTATTTGCAGGACCATCTCTCCCTAGTCATATCTCCCTGTCCTACTAGATCTGGCAGGAGAAGCGTTTTTTGGATCCTGACCTGTTATGTGGCAGGACCCAAGAGGAAAGGTTTTTCTATCTCGATACTCTGGAACATCATTCCCCCAGATAACATTTTGCCCTGACCTTGCTGGCCTTTTGGGAATCCTTAAAAACTTGGTTTTGTAGTGGGGTCATGGACCCTGATTTGAGTCTCTATCACAGCTGTGTTTATTGTTGCTGATTTTTTGGGGGGCTGCTATATAATGATCATTATATAGAGCCGAGGTCGTGCAGTGGTTAGAGTGCAGTACTGCAGCTACTTCAGCTGACTGCTTGTTCAGCAGATCAGCGGATCAAATCTCACCGGCTCAAGGTTGACTCATCCTTCCATCCTTCCGAGGTGGGTAAAATGAGGACTCAGATTGTTGGGGGCAATATGCTATTTAGTATGCTGTCTTTGGTGTAAGCTGCCCAGAGTCCTCGGAGAGTGGGCGGCATAGAAATGTAAATAATAATAATAATAATAAACTTAATAAGTTTAAAAGAGTATAACAATAATAATAATAATAATAATAATAATAATAATAATAATTATTATTATTATTATTATTATTATTATTATTATTATTATTATTATTAAGTATTGCTAGCTGACCAGAGGCATATGTTTGAGATGGGTGGCCATATAAAACAAATAGTAAGTAAAAAAACAGCCCTTTCTCCTTGCTCTGTAAAACCAATGATAATCCCATTTGAGAAATTTTATACATACACACTCCTGCTCATACTAACCCACAGATCAGTATAAGAAAGTTGTAAAAGTATTGCACAAATGGCCGATAATAAGAGTGTACACAGGTAGTCCTCAATATACAACCACAACTGAGATGGGAATTATGGTTAAGTCATTGTGGCTAAAAATTGAGTCACCACCTGATTTCACTCGACTACATTTGCCTTTCTCAGGGGTTATTAAATAATAATCATTAAATAAACATGAGGGTGATTACGTAGAGCACAAACTGCCCGCAGGAAGCCCTGAGAGCTGGAGGCTCTCAGGGCTTCATATTCATATTCATATCCGAGTCTTTTTAAAATGATTCTGCACACATGCTGAGTCCTAGGCTTGTCATTTACAGGCAGCTGTGAAATCCAGCAGGTCAAACATTTGTGTGCGGTTGAAAATAATACAGCAACCTCTGATTCCAAAGTGTTTAATAACTGTTATGTCCCTGTTAGGGACGAAC